TCCTTCCTTCCTTCCTTCCTTCCTTCCTTCCTTCCTTCCTTCCTTCCTTCCAGAATCATAGGACTGCAAGGGACCTCAGAGATCTTCTAGTCCAACCCGCTACCACCTCAAACAAGGGGCTGTCCAATCTCCTCCAGTGATGAAGCATCCAGAACTTCTGGTGGCAAGTCGTTCCACCGGTTCAATGTTCCCACTGTTAATCAACGTCTCCTTCATTCCCGGTTGCTTCTCTCCTGGCGGAGTTTCCACCCGTCGTTCCTTCTTCTTCTTCTTCTCCTGCTTTCCGAGGCTTTGGAAAAGAAGGGGATCCCCTCCTCTTTGGGGCAGCCCCCCTCCCACCCACCCCCCACTTGGGGATCCAGAGGGCTGAGCGCGCTCCTTCCTCCCCGGTCGGGATCTGGGCGCGATTCCCTCGCCGGCCGCCAAGCGCCATCCAAGGGCGCAGGGTCCGGATTCCCTCGGGATCTCTGCGCAGATCCCTGCCCGATCGGGGCGGCCGGCTGAAGAGGGGCGGGCCAGAAGGGAGGAGAGAAGCGACGCTGCCGGGGATCGCCCGATCGCGGGACCGGCAGCTCGTCCCCCCGCAGAGCCCAGGCGAGGCACGGCGGAGCGCCCGGGCAGCGCTTGCGGGAGCCTCCGGGGAAACTCGCCCGGCTCCTTGGCCGGCACCTGCCCGGGATGGCGGCGGGGCTCCGGCTGCTGCTGTGGACGACGGCGCTGCTGCTGCTGCTGCTGCTGCTGCGGGCGAGCTGCGAGCCCGAGCCGCCCTTCGAGGCTCTCTACGCGGCGGGGCTGGAGGCGCACGCCCGGGCGGACTTCGCGGGCGCCGTGCGCGGGCTGGAGCGGGCGCTGAGCGCGGAGCGGCGGCTCCGGGAGAAGCGAGCGGGCTGCGGGCGGCGCTGCCGCCGGGAAGAGCCGCTGGAGGCCGGGCGGGACCCGCTGCCCTTGGCCGGCGCCTTCCTCCGCCGCGCCCGATGCCTCCGCGCCTGCCTGGGCCCCGAGGACGCCGCCGCCGCCGCTGCCCCCGCCGGCCAGGAGGTGCGCGCCGACTTCCAGCGCCGCCTGCCCTACAGCTACCTGCAGCGCGCCTACATCCAGGTGAGCGGCGGCCCGTCCAGGCGTGGGGAGCCCGGATTCTCCCTCCCTCCCTCCGCTGGGGTTCTTCGGGGTTCCCTGGGGTCGATGGCCTCGGTCCCCTCCTTCCCTCCCGGGACGGATTTCTTTGGCACCCCCAAGCATGTTTCTTTCTTTCGTTGCCTGCGTGGGCAGGGGGTTGGACTAGGTGGCCTCTAAGGTCCCTTCCAACTCTGTTATCCTGTGATTCTGAGCAGGGGGTTGGACTAGGTGGCCTCGAAGGTCCCTTTTGTTATTCTGTGATTCTGGTAAGGGGGTTGGACTAGATGACCTCTAAGTTCCCTTTTGTTATCCTGTGATTCTGGGAAGGGGGTTGGACTAGATGACCTCTAAGTTCCCTTTTGTTATCCTGTGATTCTGAGCAGGGGGTTGGACTAGGTGGCCTCTAAGGTCCCTTCCAACTGTGTTATCCTGTGATTCTGAGCAGGGGATTGGACTAGGTGGCCTCTAAGGTTCCTTCCAACTGTGTTATTCTGTGATTCTGGACAGGGGGTTGGACTAGATGACCTCTAAGGTCCCTTCAACTATTATTCTGTGATTCTGAGCAGGGGGTTGGACTAGATGACCTCTAAGATCCCTTCAAACTCTGTTATCCTGTGATTCTGAGCATGGGGTTGGACTAAATGGCCTCTAAGGTCCCTTTTGTTATTCTGTGATTCTGGGCAGGGGGTTGGACTAGGTGGCCTCTAAGTTCCCTTCCAACTCTGTTATCCTGTGATTCTGAGCAGGGGGTTGGACTAGATGGCCTCTAAGTTCCCTTTTGTTATTCTGTGATTGTGGGCAGGGGGTTGGACTAGATAACCTCCAAGGTCCCTTCAACTGTTATTCTGTGATTCTGAGCAGAGGGTTGGACTAGATGACCTCCAAGGTCCCTTCCATTATTCTGTTATTCCTATTTACAGGTAGTCCTCAACTTACAACAGTTCATTTAGTGACCGAAGTTACAATGGCAGTAAAAAAGCAACTTATGACCATTTCAGCATTCCCATGGTCATTTGATCAGAATTCAGATGCTTGGCAACTGACTCGTACTTACGACGGTTGCAGTGTCCCAGGGTCATGTGATCCCTTTTGCCAACTTCTGATGAGCAAAGTCAATAGGGGAAGCCCGATTTGTAACAACCATGTTACTCACTTAACAACTGTGGGGATTCACTTTACAACAGCGGCAAGAAAGGTCGTGTAAATGGGGGCAAAACTCCCTTATCCACTGTCTCACTTAGCAACAGAAATTTTTGGTCCCAATTGTGGTTGTAAGTCCAGGACTACCTGTATTTATTTCTTATCTAGGACAGCTATTTCTGTATTTAGCACATTTAATCATTCATTGATTTAACATATTTATTTATTTAGAATATCTGCTTGCTTATTATTTAGCATACTTATTTATTTAGCGGATTTGTTTAGCAAATGTTATTCGTTTGGCACATTTATTCATTTATTTATTGTTTAGCACCTTTATTTGTTTTAGCACGTTGATTCATTTGTGGAGGGCATTGATTTTGCCAATTGTTCTTCGTTTAGCAAATTGGTCTGGCAAATTTACTTTTTTTGTTCGTTTATCTTATTTATTTAGTCCTGCATTTCTTGATTTGCATTTATTTAGCTGATTTATGTGCCGCTCTGCCTGCTTTCCCAAAGCGACTTTAAGAGTTGGAGGGAGAGTCATAGGAACGCAGTGGGTGGAGGGGGCTCAGGTAAGGCAGCCCAGCCAGGTAGGGAGAGGAGGGTGGTCTTATTTCCCCAGTCCTTCCACCAGCCCCACCCCCCAGGCTCCCCTTCAGTTGCTGTGCAAGGCTCACCTGGCCTCAGGGTTGTCTTATTTTCTTCCAGGTGCCCCCCAGGTTTTGCCCAGGTGCCCTCTTCCCACCCAGGGCTTCTGGCTGCCTTTGGGTCTCTCCGCCCACCTGAGGAGCTGTTCCTCTACCTGCCATTGGCAACATTGGGGTGCTTATTTCTTTATAGTGACTTCCACGGTTTTTATCCCAGCTTTTATTACTGTATAAATAAGGCAATAACCATATCTTATACTAGTTCGATACCCGTGCTTCGCTACGAAATTATGTGGTTGGGCTTAGTTTTTGGGGAGGAAAATAAGGAAAACAAAACTGTGCCTCTGGCGATCAGCCTCCGTCGGTATTCATCTGGCTAGCGTCCAGTCAGTGTGTGAGAGAATTTAAGGCTGTTTGGAAACGGAAAGAATATTTGCTGTGTGAGCAAGAAGGAGACAGCAAGGAGCCTGGGCGTGGCTTAGCTCAACTGTTCTGTACTAAAGCTGCTTCTGCTATGAAACTGAAACTCCTCTGCTGGTGTTTTGCATTTGGAACAGATTTCTTTTCAGGTGGGGAGGGGGAGTAGAACTCCTTAGCGTCAGAGCCTGTTTAATAATAATAATAATAATAATAATAATAATAATAATAATAATAATAATAATAATAATAATGATTGATGATGATGATGATGATGTAGGAAAAACTCTAAATGCTCTGATGATCATTTGGAAAAATCCTTTCTTAGTGAGCCCCTAGAAGCCAAGAGGAACCTACGGGCCCAATTTCAAGTTTGTAGGCTTTACAGTTCTGGAAATTTCGTGATGATGCATGAGGGGTATTTTGCTTTGATAGATAGATAGATAGACAGACAGACAGACGGACGGACGGACGGACGGATGGATGGAGAGAGAATTATAAAAAGACAGATAAAGAAATTAGAGATAGGCAGAGATTAGAGATGATTAGAGATAGATGGACGGATGGATGGATGGATGGATGGATGGGTGGATAGAGAAATATATATATGGTTAATGTTGTATAAAGGCAGAGATCTCTGTAATGGTATCTTAATACTTAAAACATACGGGCCAAATTTTAAGTTTCTAGGCTTGACGGTTCTGGAGATTTTGTGATGATGCGTGAGGGGTCTTTCGCTTTATATATAGATAGATTCCTCCTATTTCACCCACCACAACAACCCTGCGAGGTGGGTTAGCCTGAGAGGGAGGGAACTGGCTCAAAGTCACCCAATCAGCTTCCATGCCTAAGGCGGGACTAGAACTCACTGTCTCCTGGTGATTGGCTCAGAGTCACCCAATCAGCCTCCATGCCTCAGGCGGGACTAGAACTCCCCATCTGCTGGTAACTGACTCAAGGTTACCCAACCGGATTTTCTGCCTGGGGTGGGACTAGAACTCACCGTCTCCTGAATCCAAAGCTGTCCCTTAACCACTACACCAAACTGACTCTCGATTCTCTTATCTCCATGTTCCTTTGCTCCTCCTCTGGTTCTTTCCCAGGCCTCTGAAAAACAGCTTTGCGCAGAAGGAGAAAGAGAAAAGAAAGAAGAAGAAAAACGAAGGATATAGTTAAGAAAAGAAAAGAAACAAAATATATGAAGAAGCGACTTCCCACTTGATCACAGTTGTAAACAATTTTGGCAACTTTTCCTCTTCTCTTAATAGCCATAACGAAAGCCCTTAGACTTATATACCACTTCCTAATGCCTTCCAGCCCTCTCTAAGCAGTTTACAATGTCAGCCTCTTGCCCCCCCCAAAAAATCCAGGTCCTCATTTTACCCACCTCGAAAGGACAGAAGGCCGAGTCAATCTTGAGCCGGTCAGGATCGAACTGCTGGCAGTGGACATGCAGAGTCAGCCTGCAATACTGACACCACCACGGCTTAAAATTACGCAACGTCTGTTCTCTTCTTCCCATATTCATCTCTCAGCTGTAAACAAATGTTTCATTTTCAATCCTGGGACCAGGAAAAAAAATAATACTGCATTAAAAGTGAACAGATAACATCTCTCTTTTAACCTTGGTCAAATAAACCGATGTTATGTTCCTTCCTTTTTCTTCCAATAATCTTGAGCTTTAATCCCTTCAAATCATGTCCTAAAACTTGATTTCTTTTCCTTTTTTTGATGCCTTCTCCAAACCTTAACACGCTTTTAACAAGCACTTTCCAAAAATGATTAGAAAGGAAATATGCCCATTTAGTGACTTTGGGGGCCAGCCGCAATTTGAACAGGCTGGTTAGTCCTTCATCTCCCAAACCTCTAAACCTGCCAAAGGCCAGTAGCTTGTGGTCTCTTGGCAAGAAGTGTTGTGGTTCGCCGGCAGCCGGTGCAGACGGCAGCGGAATCGGACAGTGGGGAAGAACAGGGACCAGTCTGGGAGTGTGGAGAGGACTCGGACGAGGGTCCTGCATCCAGAAATGGGGCCAGGGCCATCTGGGAGTGGGGTGCTGACTCCGGAGTCTTTGGAGTCCGGCAGCAGCGAGGCAGAGGA